CACTTTGTTCAACCCAAGGAGAGATGGAGCTACAAACGTGTTTCCAAGTTCTTTACCATTTGGAAGAGGTGCTCATGTACACAACCAACTTAGCCCAGTGATGCACATGCTCATGGGAGCTTTCAAGGCGGTCTGGCTTAGTAGGGGTGTCGAACTCAATCAGAGAAGGGGCCAAAATCTAAAATCCAGCCTAAATTGCGGGCCGAATGGTTTACTGAACAGTCATAAACTGTCATTGTGATGGAAACGCAGCGGAGTGCAGTGATGACAGCGCGGTGCGGGCCACATTGCAAGGCCTGGCGGGACGGATTTGGCCCGCGGGCCTTGTGTTTGACACATGTGCCTTAGGGGATGGGTTACATGACTAACCAGTAAGAATGGAAGAAACAGGGGCTAGAGATTAACCATCTAATTAACCACCTCAAAGCTCCTCTCTGCTTCAGTGGGACTCAAACTGGGAAGCCCCAGCTCCCTCCCCTGTCAGTCACCTGAGCACTCACTTTCCCCCCCATCCAGCCACCTCCCCTTACTCTCTCCCCCATCCAGCCACCTCCCCTCACTCTCTGCCCCCATCCAGCCACCTCCCCTAAATCTCTCCCCCATCCAGCCATCTCCCTTCTCTCTCTCCCCCATCCAGCCACCTCCCCTCACTCTCTCCCCCATCCAGCCACCTCCCCTCATTCTGTCCCCCATCCAGCCACCTCCTCTCACTCTCTGCCCCCATCCAGCCACCTCCCCTAAATCTCTCCCCCATCCAGCCACCTCCCCTAAATCTCTCCCCCATCCAGCCATCTCCCCTCACTCTCTGCCCCCATCCAGCCACCTCCCCTCACTCTCTGCCTCCATCCAGCCATCTCTCCTCAGTCTCTCCCCCATCCAGCCACCTCCCCTCACTCTCTCCCCATCCAGCCACCTCCCCTCACTCTCTGCCCCCATCCAGCCATCTCCCCTCACTCTCTCCCCCATCCAGCCACCTCCCCTCACTCTCTCCCCATCCAGCCATCTCCCCTCACTCTCTACGCCTATCCAGCCACCTCCCCTCCAGCTTCTGTGCAGCCTCTCTCCTCACACATCCAGTCCCATGAATCGCACACCTCAACCAACAGCCCCACTTCCTGTGAATGCCCTGGACAGAGACAGTCCAGGGGAAATATCATGGAAGGCAGATGCGAACCACATAAGCAATCTTATGTTTTCTAGTAGCCGCACCTAAATAAGTAAAGAGAAACTGGTGAAACTATGCTTAATAATATATTTCACTTAAACCTAATATATCCAAAATATTACTTTACTTTATAATCAATACAAAATTCCTGACATGTTTTCAAGTCTTTTAATATAAGTTTATTATGTCTGATGTGTATTTTAAGCTCACAGCACGCCTCAATCTGGACTAGCCACATTGCAAGTGCTCGCGGCCACTAACCAGTGGCTATGAATTGGACAGCACAGAATTGAGGCTCTCTCACGCCAATGAAGTGGTCCCAAACTTTTAAAAAGACTAGTTAGTGCTGGATAAAGGGATCGTGGGTGGTTTTTAACAAATAACTTTGGATTATCTATACTTTTTATTGTTCTCCAATAAACACAAATGGCATGAGTCTATGCACAGGGTGTCCCCAAAAATGTATACACACTTGGAATGATTATAAAGTCAGTGTTTATTAATATACAGTGCATCTTCAACAGTTAAAAGAATCCACAGAAATGAATAATTATCTTTTTGTGAGTGCCTGTTTTCAAACTGGTGACAGTCTGGTCCAGGCACTGCTGATGATGCAGAGCAATGGAATCCCAAACATCAAGAATCATTTCGTGCAGCAACCGGTTTGGCTCAGTGGATAGAGTGTTGGCCTGCAGACTGAAAGGTCCCAGTTTCGATTCCAGTCAAGGGCATGTACCTTGGTTGTGGGCACATCCCCAGTAAAGGTGTGCAAGAGGCAGCTGGTTGATGTTTCACTCTCATCAGTGTTTCTAACTCTCTATCCCTCTCCCTTCCACTCTGTAAAAAAATCAATAATATATATATTTTAAAAAAGAATCATTTCGTTCGGTATTTGTGTGCCCTAAATCTGTCAACTGCTGCCAGTTTTATACCCTAAACTTTATCTTTTATGTGTCCCCATAAAAAAAGTCTAGTGGCCCTTTTGAATAAATTTTCTTTGTCCAAAGCTTAGTCTGGCTTCACCCATTATTTCAAATCAGTTAAACCTGAAAAGGAGTGAAGATTAAGTGAGTTATCAGCTGTTAAAGTGTGTAGACATTTTGGGGGGACACCCTGTATTTTTAAAAGCTTGTGAATTTTAACGTCTTTGGCCTATCAGGGGAATGTCAATGACTGACTCATCACATTCATGCCCTAGCGCAGCTTGTTTTTTTAAGGGCACACGTGGCACCAGCATCTGTCCTCATTTCAACTTACCCAGCCAGACCTGGCTCCCAACTGCTTCACCGTCGCAAATCATCCTCCCTGCCTGCAAGCCGCCCACCTCCTCCTTCTGCGATCCCTCGGGTGAAGGTACCGAATGCCCAGAGGGTTTTCCATGTCCTCCTCACTCTGCACAAATACCAGCCCACGCACATTTTCTCCTTTTCCTTTGGTAGATCTCAGGTCGCAGGCACATGGTTCGGAGAATTCAAATACAAATGCTAGAAAAGAGCTGTCTTCAGTGCTGCTTCAAAGCATTTTACATCAGGCTTGTTATTTACTTGTACTTAAAATCAGATCCATTCCAAAGCTATTCTATATCCCACTCTGTTTTCTTTTAGTTTAAAAAAAAAAAATGGCCTATGGGTTCTCTGCATGCATCAACAACTGATTTTTAATCAGAGATCACATTTTTCACCTCAAAGATTGTGATTAAGATAACGTCTTCGGAGTTTAAATACAGAAGCAGTTTAGTCAATGTGAACATGAGGCACAGGCAGCTTGAGCAGATAAATGGGCTTGGGTTAAGGAACCTCTAGATTTTTAAATTCATGGTACAGTCTGGTTTCGGGGTGCCCTGTTTGCCACTCATGACAGGTTTGCCCTGTTCTCCCAGGGTGGTATGTGGAATCCTGAACTGGGGGAGTTTCAAGACCTGGATTTCAGTCCTCACTGCCAGGGCCAACCAGCTACATGACCTTGGGCCCACATCCCCTCTCCCCGCCATCCCCTGCTGGCCTCAGCCTCCCAGGCTGTACCAGGGGAGTTGACAACAGTGTTTTCTCAGGCTGCGTCCAGCCAGCATCGCCATTCCTGACCTCTGTGCTAATCTTCCTCCATCCATTATCCCCCAAACAAATGCTGCCTCATGCCTCTCCTCTTCCTCACTGAGAAGATGGCTGGCAGTGAGATGGGAAAGGAAGGCTGCTTAGGAGAGAGGGAGGAATCCTGAAATGAGTCACCTTTTGAGAATTCACCATCCTCTGATGAATTCTGCGTGCTTGGTCATGGTGTTAAATCACGTCCTGCAATGAGACTGGCCCTAAGGGCCTGCCATGTGTTATGTCTACTATTCCTGGGCGATGTTGACACTAGACACCCCTGTCTCTTAAGAGCCAGTTGCTGGTACAAAGCAACACTGAGGTTATACATCAGACTGACACCAGCAGCCACATACATGGACTTCAGCGGAACCTGGAGGAAGTCAGATCAGAATCACAGAGCGTTTTAATTGGGTCTTTGCGCCCGCTTTTGATAAGTTAGAGGAAATAAAGTATACAGCATCCCACATTTCCTGCTTATCCTCCCCAGGAGCCTAAAATCTATAGTCTGCTGCAAACATTACTCCCTGCCCTATGGCTGCTGCAGCAATCCCCCACCTCGGAGAGAAGCCTGCCTTCCCCAGATTCCCTCACCCAGGCCCAGTGAGACTGGGCCCTGCTGCTCCCTCCGGCCTGATTCTTCCTGCTGCCATTTTCAATGAACACGGGTCTCCTCTGAAAAAGATGCCTGGGCTAGTCAGGCCTGGAGCCCTGGAGCCTCACACCCTCCCGGAAGCCTGCCTCGTCCTCACCGGGGACGCTAGCAAGCCAGGATTCAGCGGCACATCCCGGAGCCCATGTTACTGAGCAGAGCCCTCACCCGGCTTTGCATCCCAGCACATACAGCCTCCTTAGGCGCTGGCTGTTAACGGGCGTGTTTGGCCCTTAAACCCGAGTTCTCGCCTGTTCTCTAAAGTTCACGCTCCTGCTTTGCAGACCACACTCGTCTCAGACCTCACCAGGGATGTCACCCCTGATCGGCGCCCCGACAGACAAGAGAACCGGGACGCAGAGGCTAACTGAAGCGGATGAGCATCTCAGGATGGATAAGTGCACCCTCCACCCCCCACACACACCACCTCACCCCCCACCCGGCCCGGCACCATCGCGTTAACCTGTTAACCTGCCCGACACCCTCTCCCCACAAGAGCCGGGACCTGGGTGTGGCTGGAGGAAGTCCTGTTAAGTCCCTGCAGGAGAGGAGCAGCCTTGCTGCCCGTAGGGGAGGGCAGTCCCGGACAGGGATCCGGACCCCGCATCGATGGACACGGGGACAGAGCGGGCCACGGGCAGCGGCTGCACCTGCCAACCCACCCGGGCAGGTGCGTGACCTCCGGGGAGCGCCAGGCCCGCTCCCGCGCCCCCAGAGCCCTGCACCCCGGGAGCGGCCCAGGGGCGGGGCGGGGGGCTGGGGGGGGGGGGTGGAAACAGGGTGCACAGCCCTCACGGGGCAGCAACTTCACAGGGAGCCCAGGAAAGCAGGGTGAGCACGGGGAGAGTGTGCGGGAGGGGGCGAAGGGAGGTGAGAGCTAAGGGAGGGGCCAGGGTGGGGCTGGGTGTGCAGAGCGGGGACACGTCTGACCTGGCTGCTGGCTGCGGTGCTCGCGCCCGGGGTGGGGCGTCCCTGTCCTGCGCCCCGGAGCCCACAAACCGGTCACCCTGCCCGGCGGGGCCCGGCGATGGCGGCTGGGAGTGGACCTGCGGGGATGCGGTGCCGATGCCCGCGCTCTGGACCCGCCCGCCGGGCTCACCTGGGGCCGGGCTCAGGCTGGCTCTGCGGCGCGGATGCTGAGGCCGAGGGCGCGGGTGCTGATGCCGCTGCGGGTGCTGATGCCGCTGTGGGTGCTGATGCCACGGCCGCGGCTACTGCGGCGACATCCGGGGCTGCGGCTGCAGCGGCGGAGCGGCCTTTCCCGGAGCCCCGGCCCGCCGCCCCCGCTCACAGTTTGCACGGCTCACGTGATGCGGGTGCAGCCGCCTCCCAGTGCCCTCCCCCTTCCCCGTCCCCCTCCCCCACGCGGGGCCGGGCCTGTCTGGGCGCCGGGGCTGCGCACCAGCCGGGCTGGGGAGGGGGTGGCGGGCAGCGGGAGGAGCTGCCGCCAGGGCGGATCTCCCAGCAGGAGGTGGCTCTGGGCTAGATGGTTGTTTCTAAGTCACCACCTGGGTGGCATCTGTCTCCCCAGGGAAAACCCGGACTTGCAGGAGCCAGGCCCGCCTCCTCCCGGGCCTCTCCAGGCCTCCGCCGCCGTTCTGTGGTTGTGCACGGGCTTCAGTGCCTAAGCGAGGTTTCCCCTCCGTGACTCACATGTCCAAGCCAATCCCCTGCTTTTAAAGATGCCATCCTGCGTCATGCTGATATGCCAGACCCTGTGTGGGGTAGGTGGGCAATGAGGCCCAAAGAGCTCTCGGAGGGTCACACAGCAAGCAGCAAAGCCAGATTCCATCCCTGGGTTAGTATCACCAACAGGTCACCAAGGGTGTGTGTGTGTGTGTGTGCGTGTGTGTGTACTGGCAACAAGCTCTTTGGTCCAGACATAACCATAACACAGCAGACTCTACCTTTTATAAAATAGCAAATAAGACTGTCCTGTAAAGAGAAAGTTCACAGGAAAACTTAAGGTAATACCACTCAGGCACATGAAAAGATGCTCACCCTCACTTCCCTTCAAATCAAATACACAAGGTCGCACTTTCCACCTGTCAAATTAGCAAAAATCAAAACGTTTTCTAACCTCCACAGAGGACAATCTGGTAATCTCTCCCAAATAGCAGATACATATATAGTCTTTGGAGGATTCCATGTCTGGACTTTATCCTACGGCTATGGCACAGGTGTGAAATGATACACGTACAGGTTATCCGTTGCTCTGTTAGTTGTGCTAGCAACGATTAGAAACAAGCGTCCAACAGTTGGGGACTATTCAAATAGCACAATATGATGGGATGCTACCCAGATATTTAAAAAGGAGGAAGGTCTCTATGTACTGATATGAGAGATCTCCAACCCATACTAAGTAGGGGAGGGAAACCATGTGCAAGACATTGTATGTTATCGTTTGTGGGAAGAAAAAAATATATATTAATATGTGCCTGTACTCTTATTTGCATGGAATATCTTTGGAAGAATACATTAGAAACTGTAATAGTAGATGCCTCCAGGGAACACTGGGTGACTGGATGGAGGAAAGGAAGATTACTTTGCATGTCTTCTGAATGTTATGCTTATGCTTGTGGTTTGCCACATGAGCAAATGGGTAGTAGGAGAGGGGCTGAGGGAATTGGGGCATATGCTGTAGAACAGAGCAGTGGTACGCACACTCTAGGAGCACAAAGGGATCTTATTGTGCATTTAGTCCAACCAAGAAAACTGTAGCCCAATATCAATATTATATACTATAGACCTGGTGCATGGCCGGCAATTGGGGCTGATTAGGACTGTCTCCCCGAGTCCGGATCAGGGCAATGGGGGCTGGTCGGCAGGGAGGGACAGGGGAGGGCTCCAGCGTGTGTCCAGCCCTCTCTGCCCTCTCTCAGAATCCTGATCAGCCAGACCCCAGCAGCAAACTAACCTACCGGTCCGAGTGTCTGCCCCTTGGTGGTCAGTGTGTGTCACAGTGGCTGGTCAAGCCGTCAACTTAATGGTCAACCTATTGGTATTCTTTTATTATATAGGATTTCATAATAATACTCTACTTTAACATAGTTTGGAAAAACCTGTATTTTGTCCAGTTTTCTACTTGTCACAATAGGATAGCAGGTCCTACAGCAGTTTCTCCTTCATGGGCAGATGGGGAAGTCTAGGAACTGTCATCTTAATGTCCCTCAGGAACCACGTGTCTTGATTTAGACTCAACCAGACCCACAACTGTAAGAACTACAAATGCATACTTTACTTATAGAACGTCTTCAACATACTAATTTAATAAGAAACATGATCAAACACCTATGCTAGGAATTACACTATTGCTGCAAAGATGAAAAAGGCATATCATAGCCTCTCCTCTTAAGCAAGAAAATTAAGTATAGAAGTAATACATGTTGCCATTAAGTTAACATAAGAATTATGCAGAGATTAATACATTGATCTAGCATATTAAAAATGTAAGCAAGTTTAAAAAATGATCAATTAAAAATATTGATGACGATGTTGCCTTGTCTTCTAACCAGTATTATTGTCTAAAGAACCCTATGTAATGATTTTGAGGAGTTTGAAGGACATGTGTAATAGAGAAATACCTTCAGCACATTGCTTATGAGGTATTTTCCTCTTAGTAATTGGCTTGTCTTGTATATAATCTTATGAGAACAACAACAACAAAAAAGGGGGGGGGGAATAGAGGTGGGGGTTTAACAGAAAAGCCATTAAAATTTGGGAAAGAAGAGTATTAGTCAAGATTAGTCAATCTCCTGCCTTAGTTCCATGACAACCGTGTTCAGGAGGGTAGTCTTCTGAATTGGTTACCATAGAAACAAACCTTTAGAATGCCCTCAAATCAATCTAAGGAATTGCTGCCCATATTGAATTTAGACAATACAGAGAAATTATAAATATTAAAATCTATTTTTAAATTATTTTTAGAATTCAAATGATCCATCAAGCCCTTTGGAGATTGCTAATTTAGACAACCATAAATTATATCTTGGCAAAAAGTATAAAGTCCTATTCATTATATTTAGGTGGTGGGTTTCTAAATTCAATTATTCAAATGTGTCATTTCAATGGTTCCCATTCCATTTCAAATAACAGTTAATCAGTGTTCTGAACCTAGTTTTTTGGATTTTTTAAAAATTATTATGTATGCATTACCCTCACTGCTCTGCCTTTAGGAGCCATTGGTGGCTTCAGTGTACTATACAGAAAATTTAAAGGGGAACTGCTGATTGTTCATTTTGTGACTATCAAAGAACAGGCCTGAGGATTCTGTGATGACCTTTGGGAATTTCCACCAATTCTTCCTTACAGATATGTTTTCCTAGTTTGCCTGTATGTAAACAGTCCATTTTATGCTATGTGCAGTGTTTTGTTTTGTTTTAATATAGCTTTATTGATTTTAGAGAGGAAGAGAGAGATAGAAATATCAATAATAAGAGAGAATCATTGATCAGCTGCCTCCTACACACCCCACACTGGGGGTGGAACCTGGAATAGAAAGATGTGGATGAATGTCACATGTGGATGAATGTCATAATGTTCCCAATTTCTAACCAGAGGTAAAAAACAAACAAACAAACAAAAAACCTAGATTTAGAGTTATATTAACATAAAATGCACTCCACCATGCCTGCAACAAATAAATTAGAAGATGCTGTAAGAAACTGGAATTAAGCCCCAATGGGCCCCCGACCCTTTCTTCCTTCTTTAGATTAATGAAAACTGTCCCTCACCACCTCCATTTACATTCCTGCAACCATTTACCAAAAAGGGCATTATCTCGAGCTGCCGCAGGGTGTGATTTTACCATAAGTTAGTTACATGACTTGTAAATGCCCAGAAATCCCCACGTGGCATATACTTCCGCTGTTACTAGAGACCAGGGGACAGCATTTGCTTTACTCCAGATTTTTTATTTTATTTTAGTAAACATCTCATGTCTTTTGTCTTTAGGCCATAAAATAAGACTGAGTTTGCCTAGCTCACAGGCCCTCGGGTTGGCTTTGAAGATCCGGAGCTGACCTGTCCTCGCTGGAGGCATGGCATCCCAGCGGTGTCACTAGCAGCCCAGGTACAGGCGGATGAGGGCTTGGGGCTTCCAGGAACCTCCAAGTGCCCTTCCCTGTTCCTCAACTTCCTCTACGTACTGTCACGTACTGTGTTTTGTGTGTGACATTCAGCCACATCTTTCTATTGTGATCACACCCCCGGGTATTCTGTTTGAGACATTCTAGATTTTTAAAAAGCGGTTCTTCAATTTCTAGCTAAACTTAATTAAACGGGGTAATTATAGCCGTGCAGAATAACCAGGAAAAGTAGTACAAATACAGCTTCCTCTACGTACTGTGACACAGTACTGTCACCTACGTACAGTGTCATAGCCAGCCACTGAGTCCCTTCGACACACCTCCAGCTCAGGCGGTGAAAAAGGTTACTGTTGGTTTTATCTAGAGAACCACTAGGCGATTCAACCTAAATTACAGCTTCACACTAAACTGAAAGACAAAATTTCAGAGGGGAAATCTTGTACTAGATAGAGCATTTCAATAACTGTCTTTAGTAGGAAACTTTAGGTGCGTGCCGTATATGGTTTGTATGTGGCATATAGTACACTATATATACACATACAAATTTGCACATGCATAAACCTATAGGCACCTCTATATTTTAAAGAAAAGTTTTATTTTTTTCCGAAATCTCTTGACTGTATATTCTTCTAAAGAAATGAGTGATAGGTAATTCTGAAAGGAAAAAAAATAATACAGAAGAATAATTTGGGGGAAGTCAAGGCTCTTTTCTCCCATCTAGTAGGGTTATTAATACAACGATACTTCACTTTTTAAAGAAAAAGGTGGAAAAATATATTTTTTTTCCATAACATCGCACATAACATCTCTGTTCTCCTTTTGTAGTTTATAAACAACTCTGAGAAGTCACCCATACGCTCAAGTGCAGGGAGGAGAGAGCATGCTGATATGGAAGTAGCAGAACAGAGGTAAGCCATATCCTGTATCATGAATCAGATGAGAAATACAAATTCATTCCCGCAAAGAAAGTTTCAAGTAGCTCGTCTCCGATCTGATTCAGAAGTCGTTTCCTTGTTGTTTTTACAGCACCCCAGCACTTCATTTAATTACATACGGTAACTTATAGCACTAATTTACTCAGTAGGCATTAATCATCGTAACACCCACCCATGACACACAATAAAATCCCAAACCAAAACAACAGTGATAGCCCGGAACAGGTTTGGCTCAGGGGCTAGAGCACATGTGTCAAACACAAGGCCCGCGGGCCAAATCCGTCCCGCCAGGCCTTGCAATGTGGCCCGAACCGCGCTGTCATCACTGCACTCTGCTGCGTTTCCATCACAATGACAGTTTATGACTGTTCAGTAAACCATTCGGCCCACGATTTAGGCTGGATTTTAGATTTTGGCCCCTTCTCTGATTGAGTTCGACACCCCTAGGCTAGAGCGTCAGCCTGTGGACCAAAAGGCCCTGGGTTTGATTCTGGTCCAGGGCATGTACCTTGGTTGCAGGCTCCTCCCTGGCCTGGCCCCTGGTCAGGGGGCATGCGGGAGACAACCAATCAATATCTTTCTCTCACATCGCTGTTTCTCTCTGTCTTTCCCTCTCCTACTCTCTCTAAAAGATCAATGGAAAAATATCCTCAGGTGAAGATTAACAACAAAAACAATAACCCACAAAACAACAGTGATAACTACCACCATTAAACAAACAGAAACCCCACATATACGTACTCCAGTACTCAACATTCACTATTAACTCCTGCTTTCAATGCTCAAGGTTTAATGCCTATTTGTTTCAAAACAATAGCTTTCCTTACAACTATATCTAAACAGAGGAATCAGATTCATTCCAAGCGTCATTATACATGTCCCCAAACTACCTGTCCATCTTCCTCACTTGGTTTTTATATAAAACCTAGGAAGAACAGTTAAGAAAATCAATGAAACTACTGAAGAAATTGAAGAATTTTTCAGAAAAGCAATTCTTTTCCAAATAATCTTTATTTTCTAAAAAAAAAAAAATACCATAACACAGTCCTACAAATTTAAATAGGACACAGCTAGCAGGATTAATGAGACCAATGATACACATGTGAAGTCACAGTTGGTGTCTGATTATTCCCACAAATGGAAAGGTGCAAAGAAGTAAATAAACCAAAGAAGGCAGTTAACTTAAAGACAACCTAACCTAGTGACATGTTTTCATTTCTTACTTGAGTCTAGATGTTTATTAGATGGGAATTGATACAAATCCACATGAGATGAAGGAATATACTGCCTGAATACTCAGAATTCTTTTTACTTCTCTTGCTCTGCAGTAGACAGCGTCAGTAATGTTCCTACAAAGTAGCGTCATAAGGCTTTCTGTAAGGTGACTTTGAACTCCTGTAGGTTGAGGAAAAGAGCAGTGAACTTAAAAAGTTTTCTAGCCATAGCTGATTTCGCCAGAAAAAGGTGTTAGTGAGGAAAACGTCAAACAGAATCAGTGAAAGTCGTCTATATCTGATGTAATAGTTGTTCATAATTCTTTAAAGAAAAAAAAAATCTAGAGCTCAACAGGAATGAAAGGACTAAGATACACATGGGGAACCTCACACCACACATGGTTTTTGAGGCAATTCATTGCTGACCCCAAGATTTTTCAAAGAAACCAGAGCCGTTTCTGGAGCATGGGGAGAATTCTGTGGCACCAAACATAGCCAGTAAAGTATCTTCAAAGGATAAGGACCCACATTGAAGAGAAAATTAGGAAAGCAAACTGAAGAGAAAATTAGACCCAGTAAAAGCAAAGAAATTTTTTCTTTTCAATATAGGTACAGGGCAGTAAGAAGATAATGAACTTGAGGACTGAAATCTGGCTCAGTAAGTTAGCTGTTGCCTGCAGTCACAACAATCTCGTTGAATGACAATTTCCTCACCTATAAAATAGGTAAAGTCCACCAGCTTTTTTCATGGACTTCAGAGCAATGAGAGTTAAAGTTAGTGATACATTTGAGATCACTTTGTAAATGATGATACTTTTTTTTTTTTTTAAAGAGATAGGAAGGAAGAGAGTGAGACATTGATCAATGAGAAATATCAATGGGCTGCCTCCTTCATGCCCCCTACTGAAGATCAAGCCCACAACTCAAGCATGTACCCTGATGGGGAATCAAACCAGTGACCTCTTGGTACATAGGATGACATCCAACCAACTGAGCCACAGGGGCCAGGGCTAAAGACTATTCTTAGTAAATGGGGAATTGGATACTTTTTAAACTATTGAGGATAAAAGCCAATTGAAGAAAACATAATAAAATTATCAAACTTTTGACCTTATTCAATAGCAGCTACTGAATGGGGCAGAAATGGGAAAATTTTGATTGGTTAACTAATCATGATATGTTACTTTAGTATAATACACTAGTTATAGATTATTAATTTAAAAACCAGGAAGGATAATTGGTTAGCTATAAAAAGTAAACACGGACTAAATACAACTTTCTACCTAATCTACAATATTTTGACACATTTTATTAGGAAGAAACAAACATAAATAATTGGTTCTGTTTATCATGGTAAGTCAGTAGCAATCAGGAACCAAGCCACATACTATAACTTCAGTCCTGGGCAGAATGTTCAAAGTATACACACTTATAAGTCATTAACTTTATCAAACACTTCAGCATTGCACATCTCCTCAGTAAAGCAGTGACTGTTAACAAATAAAGTTCAACAACCATCTTCCTGTAGCTTCAAGCAGAGAATCAAAGGCCAATAACACTTTCATTATAACATGAAAACAGTAAGCTTTGGCTTATTGCAAAAAGCGCTGCAAATGTCGGTATCTAACTTAGCGAAAACGGGGGGAAGCAGAGACAGAGGGTGCTGATTTGTGATATACTCGCTCTTACGTTGGACAAGGTCCCCGTTGTAATATTTTAAAGTTACAAATAAGACTTCATAGGTGAAAGTAGAAAACGGTCCAGACTTCTCCTTATTCAAAGATAAAAACATTTTTTCTTCCCATTAATTCGCCAGAAAGAAATGGGCACTTAGAAACCCTAAAGGTCTTTAAATAATATTCAGGGGGAAAAAATATTTAAAAAAATCAAAGCAAGAACAGAATAAAATACTGTTAAAAAACAAGACTTTCTTTAAAAGACGGTTTCCGGCTCTTTAAAGATGGCTGCTGTATAAAAAAGGCAGATGTATCTCTATAACTCGTCATGTTTATATGTAAATTCTCTGGCAGATATAAATCCATCCTTGTCTTCATCTTCTTTATCAAAAATATCCTCCACCAAAACATCGTGATGACTTTCATTCACCACTGCACCATGCTTTTCAAACTCCTTCTTCAAATACACTTTAACCTACAAAATGATGGTCTCGTTAATACTTCTTACTTGTAAGACACCTGTATTGAGTCAGTCAATAATATCACAGACTGGACTAGTAGCTCATTTAATGATATACAACTGCTTTATGGCAACTATTTATCAGGATATCTATGTTTCTTATGCAATAACTCCGAAATGGGAATTGTCTTGGCAAAATGGATCTTTCAAAAACTTAGGGCAAGACAAAATAGTCAACCTTATTTGATGCATTGGAGGGAGAGAGAAAAAGGCAAAAGAATAAGTGGTGTTTTTAAAGTCTCAAAATCTCTCTCTCCAAAATAATGATTTCCTATGAAAAAGTCCATTTTCAAAGCATAGGCACTTAAAGAAGTTTTATACTGTAAATAACATTTTACCCAAATTAAAAATAATTTTTCTTTAAAAACATATTTCTAAAAAAGAGTGAAGGGAAGAAAGAGAGAGGAGGAAGGAATAGTCACCTCATCTTTAGAGAGTTTCCAGTCATCATTAAGATCCATTTCTTGGAATGATTCATGGGATCTTGGTCCATTTCGAATCTCCAGGAGGTCGATGTTAAATATCAGTGTGCTCTCTGGGGGTATTTTACCTAAATGGGAGGGGGGGGGGGTCAGTTGAATTTAAAAGATCCCAAATTTTGATGACAGAAAACCTATGGTACTGGATGAAACATTCTTTTAATTGAATTAAATGAAGAGCCCTCCTAAGATTATCACATATAATGGAAATTACTTATAATCATATTTGACTCAAACAAATAGAATAAAGAAGAAATAATTCAAATTAATAGATGAAAAGCAGTCTGATTTTGGTTTTGCGATTAGAAATTGTTCTAGGTACACACCCATGCCCACACACACATAGCTAATGGCCTGGGGTATTAAAATTTCAAATGCAATTAAGGTACTACATATTATAAGTCAAAAATGACTTAAAGTGCTTGAGATATTTCAGAGTTAATTATAGTACAAGTGATTTACTAACTTGAGTCAGAAAGTCCTGACCTAGAAATACATATCATCCTGCCGTTTCTGCCAATGGGGGCGGTTTATAATTGGCTGAGCTCCAGTGTCATCCTATCTGGGTTTGCAGCTTACTCCTGCCTCTCTCTAAGCCTCAGTTTCCCAATCTGTAAAACACAAATGACAATAATGCCCACCTCCAGAGTCTGTTGGGAAGATAAAGGAAGGTAACTCCATGTAAAATACTTACCATTTTGCTTGATAAATAGTACGCTCTCAATATACGTTACTAAGATATAATTCTCTTGCAGGCTTTACAAACAATTCAAGCCTGGCCAGTGTTGCTCAGTGGTTGAGTGTCAACCCATGAACCAAGAGGTCACAGGTTCAATTCCCGGTCAGGGCACATGGCTGGGTTGTGAGCTCAATCTCCCCAATTCCTAGTGAGGGGGATGCAGGAGACAGTGTTCTCTCTCATCGATGTTTCTATCTCTCTATCCCCCTCTTTCTCTCTTTCTCTCCAAAATAAAACTGTAAAAAAAAAAAAAAAAATCAGAAAGGATTAACAATTTCAGAAAGTTAGGCCGTTGCACGTATATGGAAGAAATTTCAGGAGAGGGGATAAATTAAAACACATTGCTGAAAAGGGAAATTAAAAAAATCTTTGAAAGTGAGAAGAGCATTGTTAAAGTCCCAGGGACTTTAAATTTTTTTATTTTTTTTTTCTGGGAAGTAAAGACAATTCTTTCAACTGTTTCCTTATAACTATATTAACATACAGATCTAGATAAACACTATAAATACTTCTTAGCCTCCCCATCCCACCTACTTCCACGAAAGGGCATTTGTAAGTGCAGAAGGGACAAAACTCACACAGCGTGCCGAAGTCTTACCGTCGCAGATCTAGACAGAGAAGGGCATGCACTGGGTCGTCGGGGAAACGTGCCTTTCCGAAGGCGGCATGCAAACGATGCTACAGGCCTACAGAACTAGCGTTAACACATATTCGCAGAGTTAGTTTCACGTTGGAAGGAAATGACTCCAATTTACTTGTTATAAAGTGAAATTGAGTTAAATGCAGGGTAGCTAAAGAGTGATGGGCTAGTGCTATGTGTAGAAATATTAAAGGTGAGAAGATAAAGATACAGGAAGGTGAAAGAATACATTTGACCATCAGAGAAACACTTTCTAGATAGTTGATTTCTTTTTCTCTTAAGAGGATTATTATTAAAATAAGGAACTACTGCATTTTCCGGCGTATAAGACCACCTCCTAATTTTACAGTTAAAACATAGGTTTAGGCCTATATTCACTGTATAAGATTACCCCCCCACTTCAAAGAAAAGACTTACTTTGCCATCAAGATCTGCAGGTAATTTTTGTGCAATTTTGGTCTTTTGCCCCCGATTTTCAGTTGACTTTTTTCGTTTCAAAAGTCGTCTTATATGCCGGAAAATATGGTAATTTATTAGTACATTCCATTCCATGCATAAGATTTATACAGCAAGTTCAACTCCCATCTTAGAATACATAATTCTTCACATAGGACCCCTACTTCCTTCCCAAGAAAATGGGACTAGGGTTCCCACTTTGTAAATGGTTTAGTAAACTTTAGACCTAAGGATACTGTGAAGTCTATATTCCTTTTACCTCCGAGTGGTTCTTCATTTTATTCTAATGACTACTTAAAATTCTTTTCCCCTTCATTATATAGGTAATAGGTGCCCATTGCAGAAGATTTGGAAGAGGTAGAACCAGAAATAAAAATAGCTCCCAGCCCCATCATTAACATTCTTATTTATTCTTTGTGATTCACATTGTATGTGTATAAACTTTTTTCTAATACTTACTATCATAGTATAATATATACTATAGCTTTATTTTCTACTTTTATATAAATATTATATCATACACATTTTGAATCTACTTTTTTAAAGCTTTGAAATGCCATTTTTAAGTAACTGGGTCATATTTTATTGCACTAAACCATTCTCATTATATGCTTAAGTTGGTTCCAATTTTGTTGCCTTTAGAAGCAGCACAGGAATGGACATCGCTGTTCACAAATCTTTCCTCTGATACCTGTTTATTCCCTTAGATTCGATCACAACAAAGGAAATATCGGCCACAGGCACATCCTGTGCTTGAAACACCTCCTGGCCTCCTGTGAGCAGCCCGTTGGAGAGCTGCTCAGGCTCCCGCCCCAGCCGCAGGTGCAGGGTCCGCCCTGGGCCAGCGAGCACACTTGCTTCGGCTCTACTAAACTCGTTTCATGTCACCCCATCCGTTTTCTAGGTTAAATCATTAAAAAATGTATAAGTTTTGCTGTGGGAAACTTCAGTTGAGTATCACATACTGCCCACATCTATTAATAAAATGGCATGTGATGCCTCCACAGCCTATCTTTTAAAGGTCCAACTCATCAGCACACGTATGTTGAGTGAGCTTTCCTTTGCACTGTTAAATACATTGGTGAGTTTCCCTGGGGGAGGATGCAAAAGTTCTGGAGACCGACAGCGGTATATGTGCACCGCAATGTGAATGTGCTTAATGCCACGGAATGGTACACTTAAAAATGGCTGAAACGGTAAATATTCTGTTATGAATGCTGTACCACACACCCATACACAGAAGAAGCCATCAGATTGAACAAGGTGGATAATACTAGAGATTTTTTCATTGCTAGCTTAGTTGGCCATTTCAAATTTGTTAGCTTATGGCTTAAGTCGGCCATTTCAAATAATAAGCAAGACATAATGATATTTCCCAAAGAAATACAAATTTTCTATTTACTGCTAGAGGGAAAACATACCTAGTAGCTACAGTGACTTCTGTCTCCTTTAGAAAGAGCTCTAGTGCCACAGGAAAATGTGGAATGATTATTACCTTTTCCTTCTTTCCCATAGCCCAGGGCAGGGGGAATGACGAGCTTTCTCTTCTCTCCCACACACATGCCCTTCAAGCCCTGGTCCCAGCCTTTGAGAGCCTCCAGGATGCCCAGGGTAAACCAGATGGGCTGGCCATTGTTATGTTTGTGGCTACAATAGGAAGAGAACACATTAGAATATTTTAGTAACTTTTTTATTGTTATAGTACACTCTCCCCACCCATGGTGATTAAATTTGGAAACTAATGAAAACAGCCACACACACACACACACACACACATCAATTTTATGATATAATTCAATTCACTGCCCAAATTTCTTGATGCACATTTCACTGTTGACTTAGCTAGAGAAGTGCAGATGGCATAATAATAAAAACAATAAACAAATATTATTTTAAAAATATGTTACTGTTTTGTTTTTGTTGTTTTTTATTGTTGTTTTTTGAGAGAGAGAGAGAGAGACAGAAGTTTGTTGTCCCACTTTTTTATGAATTCATTGGTTGCTTGTTGCACGTGCCCTGACTAGGAATCTAACCCTCAGCCTCTGTGTATCAGAAAGATGCTCTAAGCAACTGAGTACCTGGCCAGGGCTTAAACCATTCAACAATTACTTGAGCATTTACCATATACCAGATATTATCCCAAATACTTCTCCGCTTTTAATTCTAACAATGATCCTATGGGGTAAGTACCATTTCCCTCTGCAAGTGTATCTTGTAGGTGAGGACTCTGTGGTTAAGTGCGCCAGTATTTGACTTAACTACAAAGTTCAAGGTCTTAATCACAAAGGGATGCTGTCCCAGGAAGGCTACGAGGAGAAGAGGGAGAGAAATAGTTAAAAGTGGGTGACAGTGGATAGAGCATTGGCCTGCGGACTGAAAGGTCCTGGGTTCGATTCCGATCAAGGGCATGTACCTTGGTTGTGGGCACATCCCCAGTGGGGGGTGTGCAGGAGGCAGCTGATGGATGTTTCTAACTCTCTATCCCTCTCCCTTCCTCTCTGTAAAAAATCAACAAAATATATATATTTTTAAAAGTGGGTGAGTTTGGGGAGGAGGATGGGGGCTAGGGAGAATTTACCCTCCACAGAAGCTGTTATTGATTCTTGGCCCACACACGTGTCCATCCTCACACAGACACGGAGAGTCTGGAGCACAGCATCTTCTCACACGCCTACAAACTCTCCTTCTGTACAGCCTGCGGACAGCTCTGTAGCTGGAAAGGCTGCTCTTCCACCTACCCCACCCTTTATCCCCGCTCAGACCCTGCCCTCCTCTCCCCGCTGAGGGGCTTACTGTGGGGCTGTGCAGGAAAGCCTGGAGGAATGGCCTCTTGAGGCCCGAGGAAGAAGAGAAGGGTCAGGATATACTGGCTCATCTAAAGGAAGGCCAGCCCGAGAAAACCCAGCTGCAGAGCTACTGGGGGGCTTGAGGGCTGAGTCTCAGGGAGCTCCCTTTTGGCACCATAGGAAAGGGTCCTTCTAGCAAGTGTATCTAGGAGGTGAGAAGGGAAGGCACCCTACGGGGTTTCATTAAGTCTAGAGAAAACCTATTACTTCCTCTTTTCCTCCATTTCTCCCACGATCAAAGGAACGTTTGTTCCAATTGTAGGAAATCTGGGAAGGGCAGGAAAAAAGAACCCATCACCCAACAGACCGCAGTTTGGGCACATTTCTTGTCTCCGCAAAGGGGGTTAAGCCTTTATTTATTTACCACAGAGGCTGTGGTTCTAGAAAGAGCAAACATGCTTTGTACACGCGCCCATTCATGGTCCTTCTTCACCATTCTCCAGGCAGGCAGTTCCTGACTACTGACATACACGGAGGCTGCAGACAACAGTGCCCTCAGCAGTTACCAGACTTCAGGAGCAAACTGCTCAAAAGCGGCCCAGGACTCTCACCTGGAGTCCACTTAGAGTTTTGGTTCTGAGACATGGAGGACCCTAGGTCTAATTTTTATAATCACTTTATAATTTTCATAATCATCAAAATTATTTTCTAATAATAAGGGGTCCTTTCTCTTGACAACCTGTTTCCCATAAGACCTGCAAAGATCTCCTTACATAAGATTGGCTTTAAACCATTTCCTTTCCCCAAAGGAGAAAATGAGGGATTTCAGGGGTTTTTGTTTGTTTGTTTTGTTTTATATGGTAAAACTCGGTGCACGCTAGTTGTCCTGCCCAGGGGCTGGGAGGGGTGGGCGGGTTCTTGGTTGCCTTGCCTGCGGGGCAGGATTACTTACGTGGAGTGAAACAAGGAGCCATCCTTCTCTAAGTAGCCTTCGTAGTGGACCAGCATCAGGTCCCCGCCTTTGGTCTGGCGGTGGCAGATGAACGGCTTCTGCAGCACCTCGATCTTCACCTCTGGCTCGGGGATCAGCGCCCCGCTCAGCGCAGGGACCAGCAGCGTCAGGACCGAGCTCCACAAGAAGAGCCTCATGTCGCCGGAGCGGGAAAGAAACTCCCACCGACACAGAGGAAGGGCCCCGGACCTCATCGAGTTAAGGATAAAAAAGCTGATGGCTTCAGGACGGCGGCCTCCGGCAAGTTCATGACTCTCCCTCCCTAGCAACGTGGCACGTTCACCGCCGGCTACTTTCCCACGCGCGGCGAGCTCGCCTCCAAAGGGTTAATCCCGAACGCCGAGCCGGAGTGGCTCTGACTGAGTGGGCGTCTGCGAATGGCGGCCTCCTATTGGCTGGAAGTGCTGTCGCTCAGGCGCCTCCCAGCCAATGACGTTGCAAGGATGTAATTTGCCGCCCTCTGGAGTCGGAGCCGGGGCGAACCACCAGGAGCGGTCCTAGAGCCCGGCGGATGAAGGGATTCCGCAGCTGGGAATTTTGGAAGAGAGGTGCGGGGCGCGGAGCTACCACGGAAACTCCCCCGGCAGATTTGCACGTGTCAAGTACCCCGACTGAGTGAGGTGGAAAGATTCCTGGGGTCTTGTGAAAACTGTAGAACTTTCCGGAAATACTCGTTTATTCTCGCCGTGGGTGAGAAGCCCCCAAAATTTCACAATCCATAGACTCCTGCGATTGCTTACTATGTAACTGATGGAAACGATGAAGGCTTACATCGTGCTGTAGGGTTCCCAAAGCGCGTTCCCCTGCGTGATCTTTACCACACAGCCTGTAGGCAGGGTCTTTTATCCCTTATGAAATACGTATAGTTAAGCTAGGAGAGATCAAGAGTCCAGTTTAAGGTTATTCAGCGCCGAAGCAGTTGAGCTCCGCCTTCAAATCAGGTCTGGCGCATTCTACAACGTCGTATGGCCTTATGGCTACTAATAATTTATCACTTAGATGTTCTTACTCCAGAGGATCGATAACAGCTTCTGTTGAGGATAAGCACGTCACACTTCCGCTTTGAGAAGAAATGGTAATCCTACGAGTTAACATAGGTTCATCTCAGCTGAAAATGTTTCAGTTTTACATTTTCCACCTAATTTCAAAAGCAGTACGTGTTCATTTTTCTTGATTCGGAAGAAACTGTAAAGCACTAAAGCAGGGTTTCCAGTTAGACTGCAGGAGCTGGATTCCATTTGAATTTCAGATAAACAACCAATTGTTCTGTATTTTTATCTGCTCAATACGGCAAATAAACCTTACACTAAAGAAAAAGAAAAGAAAAAAAAAAGGGGGGTTGGGGGAGATCGCCTATAACGCCGCAAATAATTTTTTCATGTTGGTCCATGTTTCTGTGACATGTGCCTAAAATACTTTGGATCCCATTGTACACTTTGTTTCGTAACCTGCTCTTTCCACTCATCGGTAGTGAACATTCTCCCTGCTCAGATATCCTTGGCCCAGAACGTTCTCACACTTTCATAGGAACCCCATGCAGATTACTATTTGGGAGGCTGGGGCGAGAGGCGAGATTCTGCAATTCCGACGAGCTCCCAGGTGATGCCAATGCTGCCGGCCACGGACCACATTTCTAGGGGCCAGGCCTTAGCATTTCGACATTGCATTCACGCTGGCCACACAGCATTCTGTAGCGAACCTCCCGTCATCTCCGTTAAGCCCTATTGTTGGGTCCCTCGAATGTGCAGGACCAATCGACAGCCTGGACCAGAACCCAGGGGCCACCTCATCAGGGACCCCGCGAACCCCCAAACATCGCGAGGTGGGACCCGACCTATCTTTTGCACCGTTCCCAGGGAGCGCTCCCCACACCGGTCCCACCCAGCGGCTTCCTTCACTTCCGCCCCTGCCCGCCCCCTGCCCGCCTCCGGGGACTCCATTTCCCAGCGGGCCTCACTATCTCCAGAAGCCCCGCCCCTTTCGTCACCGCCAAAACCCGGCGTGGATTTTCGCTCCAGGCGCGCCCGCGGTGCACTGGGCATGCGCGAGAGGACCCGGGCCCGGCTGGTCGGGGACTCCGGGAGCGCGCGGTGCCCGCGCCGCCGCCGCCGCCGCCGGCTTCCCGCTGCCTCGCTCGCGGCACTAGGAAGGCTCCGCCGCCCCTCCGGCCCCCCCGGGCCCGGGCCCCCGAGCAAGCGGAGGCGCGCCGGCCCTGTTCTGCCCTCACGTGCCGAGGCCGCCGCCGCAGTGACCCCGCCCCCGGGCGGCGATGTGACCGGCCGGCCGTCCCCGCAGCGCGGCGGGCCGGGCGATGGCCCTGCGGCCGGCGCTCCTCGCCGCCGGGGGCCGGGAGCAGTGAGGGCCGCGGGCCGGGGAGCGCGGCCCGCGCCATGGAGGGGGTGCTGTACAAGTGGACCAACTACCTGAGCGGTGAGGGGGCGCCGCGCCTTTGTCTGAGCCGCCGGAGGGCCGCGTGGGCGGGTGTCCCGGGGTCCGGGGCGCGGCCCCTCCCGGGACCACGGAGGCCCGTGCGGACCGGGGCGGTGTCCCCCGAAGCGCGTCCTTCCCCGGACAGTGTCCCCCGGGCTGTACGTCTCCTCCCGGACACGCTCCCCGAGGGGCTGGGCGAGGGCCATCGCTGCTGCCCTTTCCCTTCCAAGGAAACCGAGGCAGTCCGGAGGCTTGGGGTGATCTGAGGGGAGATCTGGGGTGACCCGAGGGGCGCGATGCCCTCGGGGGCATCGGAAGGGGGGCTCTGAGTTCTGGCGGAGGAGCTGATCTTTCATGGCCACCCGATGGGCTGGGAGGGTTCGGATCAGCGCTGGGAGTAACTTGTACAGCACGGGGCGGAGGGGCCGGGGTGTTTGGGGGTTTGGGGGGACCCCTTTTTAAGAAGAAGAGTCCCCGGGGCAGGCACTTGCCATCTGCGCGCACACCTCGCTGGCGCCAGAGCTCCCTCTCAGCGGTGTCGGGACGCCCAGGTCTGTGCCAGGCTTTGGGCTTTCGCACTGAGCATGCCTGTCTGTTCTACAGACTCGGAAATGCCCACAGAATCAATGCCAACAGGAGCAGCTGTTTTCTTGCCCCGCGGAGCAGATCGGCTTAAAAACCGTAGCCCGCCCCTTTCCGATTTGTGGAAGGCTTCCTTCGCCTCCTGGGAAGGTCGTGACTGCTCTTCAGCTGGGAATGTGATTCCGAACAAGCTGCTGCTGCTGCTGCTGCTGCTGCTTCTGCTTCTAATTCTTCTTCTTCTTCCTCCTCCTCCTCCTCCGCCGCTGCCTCCTCCTCCTCCTTCTTTTCATTTGTGCAGCCAGTTTTTATTAAATGCCTTCTGTGTGCTGGAAACTGTTCTAGGCACTTTTTTTTTTTAATTATACTCTTTATTTATGGGACGTGAGTGAGGCATGTTTAATTCGAATAGCAACGCATGTGAAACCATGTAAACAGTCCCAGTCTCTGAGTTAGAGTCAAGGAGATGTGTGTTCCGTCCTCCCCCGCGGGACAGCCCTTTGGAGGCCGTGGCGTCTGGTGCTCTGGGTGCTGTAGGAGCGCTGTGTCCGGGAGGACTCGGTGGCAGGTGACTTTAACGAGGTTGCACAGCTGAGTGCCCTGGTGGGTGTGCCCAGAACCTCTTTTCCGTGCATAGTGTGGCTAGAAGTGAGTTTTTCTCCAAAACACAGTATGTAACCGCTTGTGTGGCTCGTGTGTTCCTGTCGTAGACACACCCTGATGTGGGGTGCCTGTGTCACATTTGAGGGGGGACGTTAGGAAGTCACTGTAGCAGCTACTCCTCTGAATCCTTGGAGAGTGTTGCTGATTTCCTTCACTGCCTGCTCCGAGCTGGGTACCGGGTAAGCACCTTGCACAAGGTAGACACAGCCCCACCTTCCTTGAGCTTACACTGGTAACCAGCGTTTGTGAGGGGGGGGGGGGACAGTCATTGATAAGTGCTTAGACGCTTGTTCCAAGTGTGTGTCCTTTGGAGAGAGGGGAGAAGAGAGACTAGGCGGGGTGATTGGGGAAGGCTTCTTGGAGGAAAAGAGGTGAGCGAGCCTGAGTGGTCAATGGAAGCTGGCAGGTGACGGGGCCAAGGCCGAGGTGCGGGTGGAGGCTGTAAGGAAGGACCTGCTCTGTGCAGGGAATGTCAGCGTGAAGGCCTTAAGCTGGATGGACAGTGAGTTTGAGGAAAGGAAAGGAGACCTGCATGCTGGAAGGTGGAAGAGGGAGGCCTGGTGCTGTAGGGCCCCATCCGCTGGTTTAGACACTGTGGAGTGTGTGTGTGTGTGTGTGTGTGTGTGTGCGTGTGTGTGGAGAGAGATTGTTTAAAAGCTTAAAGCTTACCTTAGCTCCATTTCTTGTATTTTGTCAAATGTAGTTTGTTTGTGAGCTTCTCTTGCCTCTTGAATTAATGTGCATCAGTTACTAAAAGTTGAAAACATCATGCCTTGAGAATAACTTCCAAACTCTTGCATGAATATGCCACTAAAATATTTTTTTAAAAAGGAAGAAAAATCTCTCTTCCCGAATGTGCCACATCCTCAATACCTTGTGCTCCTTCAGAGGAGAGGGCGGGAGGAAATGCTAGGGGTGTTTTCCGCAGCAGCCCTGAGCCATCCTGCCCGGGAGCACTGCACCTTGGATGTTCTGGGATTCAGTGTCACATCCTCTCTTTAGGAGATTAAACCTGCAGTGAAAAGGGAGTGGGTTACATGTTTCACAAACACCTCCCTGTGGGAGACCAGCAGCTAGGCGCTGCGTGCTTGTCATTGTGTCCGACAAGCCCTGAAGGTTAGTCCAGGGCTAGGCCATGCCCTGGGGTGAGGAGTGATCTGCAGGGGAACATTAGTTAGGCCAGTGGTTGGCAAACTCATTAGTCCACAGAGCCAAATATCAACAGGACAATGGTTGAAATTTCTTTTGAGAGCCAAATTTTTTAAACTTCTTCTAACGCCACTTCTTCAACACAGACTCACCCAGGCAGTGGTATTTTGTGGAAGAGCCACACTCAAGGGGCCAAAGAGCCACATGGGGCGCGTGAGCTGCGGTTTGCCGACCACCGAGTTAGGGAGTCGGAGACCTGAAGTCTCACCAGATCCATCACTGCCTCTGCCCTTTCTGAGCGTTAGTGTCTTCTCGAGTTAAAGGAGAGCTTTACTAGTTAATAATATAAAGCTTTTACCTGGATCCACTCGTTTAATCTTCACCACAGTCTTAGGAAGCAGCTGCCTGTTTTGTTCCCATTTTCCCGATGGAGACAGTTGAGGCTCGGAAAGGTAGAGGAAGTGGCCAAGCTCACACAGTAAGTGGCTCCCGAGTTCGTGCTCCATTGCATAATACGTTTAAAGGTCCTTCCTGCTCGATCGTTATGTAACTCTCGTTGATTCATACTGCGCCGATATTTAAAGTACGCTGACCTAGAATAGCAGGCTCTCTTTGGGTGGGAGGCGGGAGGGGTTCAGGAGGGAGGAAGATGGCCCATGTCGTGCATACGTTTTGTCACAAGGATAATGTCTGAGCCGCTGTGAGCAGTCTCCCTTACAGTTTTAGGTCCCTTTCCTGCCCACTCAGCAGCTGCGAGGGCTGCTGCCCGCACCCCCGCCAGCTGTAGGCGTCTGGGCCCTCCGGCAGGTTAGGGCACAAGCACATCCCAGCATTTCAAAAATAACCGAGCTTGCATCATGCTGACCAGATGGTTGCCGGAGGAGGTGCTGTAATTTTGCTACCCCCGCCCCCAGGGGAGAAAGGTGACAGGCCTGCACTTGTCCATGCGGTGGAACCATGTCCAGAGGATTGTGGGCTGGGAGTGATCCAGAGCGAGATTCTCGTGGTCTCACAACCTCTGGTCAACCCTTTTGGTTGGTTTGTTTTTTAACATTGTTATTGAGATAACGATTCACCTATCATAAATTTTGTGCATTTAAAATAGGCTAGATAGTGGGCTTTGCTATATTTAAAGAGTGCAGGCATTGCCATGGTCAATTTTAAACTTGCTTTAGCCCCAAAAGAACTCAGTACCCGTTAGGAATCAGTGTCTCCCCACCCCCTCTTCCAACCACTAATTTCTCTGTATAAGCTTGCTTATTCTAGACATTTTATAGAAATGGAATCATCGTTATGTGGTCTTTTGTGGCTAGCTTTTACCTAGGATAATGGTTTTTGGGCTCATCACTGTTGTAGCATGTTCCAGTACTTCACTCCTTTTTATTACCAAACTGTTCCGTTGTATGGAGATACCATTTGGTTATCCATTCACCCACTGATGACATTTGAGTTGCTCCATTTTTGATTTTTGTTTTTTGGAGAACTTACAAACTTTTCCAAAGTGGCCGCACCATTTTACATTCTTATCAGTAATGAAAGAAGATGCCCGTTTCTCTACATCCTCACCCAGACTTGGTATTGTCTGTCTTTTTCATTATGTCCATCCTAGGGAATTGAAGTGGATTTATGTTTCCCTAGTGACGAGGACATTGGTCATCTTTTCATGTGCTTATTAGCATTTGTATATCTTTTTTGGAGGAATGTCTGTGCACATCTTTTGCCTGTTGGTTAATTGAGCTTATTTTTCCACTGTGGCATTGTAAGAGTTTGTTATTTTGGATTCGAGTTCCTTATCTGATGTGATTTGCAAGTTGTTGTTTTTTTATTCTATAGAGTGTATTTCACTTTCTTGATAGTATCATTTGAGGCACAAATGGTTTCAATTTTTATGTCCAGTTTATCTTTTTTTTTTCTCTTTTATTTCTTGTACTTTTAATGTCACATCTTAAGAAACCATTGCATAACAGAAGGTCATGAGGATTTACTCCTGTGCTTTTTCTAAAAGTTTTTATAGTTTTATCTTTTCTCTGTAAGTCTGATCCATTTTAAATTAATTTCTGTGTGTAATATAAGGGTATATTCTTCGCACGTAGATATCCAACGGTAAACTCTTATTCATGCTTTCATTGGCGGCATGGGCCAGTGTATTTGAATGCCTAAGGCAGGTGTCGGCAGCCTGCGGCTCCGGAGCCGCATGCGGCTCTTTTTGTTAAGTGAAAAAATCCTCTTTCTGCACGATCCGGTATATAGCATTAAGCCACTTACAGTCTGCGGCAGACTGTAAGAAACAATATATGCAGTGTTATATTTGTTTTAAATGTCGCAATGGTTTTGCGGCTCCCAGGTGTTTTTTTTTTCCTTCGAAAACAGGTCCAAGTGACTCTTTATGTCTTAAAGGTTGCCGACCCCTGGCCTAAGTGCTAAAGGTTGGAGTCAGAAAGCACCGAGTTCAAACCTCTGCACTGCTGCTTTCTAGTGCTGACACCTTGAGCCATTACTTAATCTCCCTGAGCTTGGGTTTAAAGGAGACAGTAAGAATAATAACTAGGTTTGTTATAAATATGAAATGAAAAACATATGTACCTGCCTTGTACATAGTTTACTTAAGA